ATTGCAAGAATAACGGTTTTGCATTACATATGTAATGTTCATTCATTATCATTACACATCACTGATAAGTTTTTCTTCATGTTCCAGTAACATGGTCCTCCTTCCTAAGGGAGTCCTCCCCAGAATAGCCCGTACCTATCGCTCAGTTTTTAAGCTACTTGTATCTGTTTAAGTACGTTTTACTGCAATGCCTCAGTACCATAAGGCACCATAGCCAGCACTGGCAAAATGGCTCAGAAGGTAAATGTGTTTTACCTGGTTTAAATGAAATCAGGAACTGAGTTCAATCCCAGGACCCTATCTTGTGAAAGGAGAGAAAACTGCTACAAGTTATCCTGTACTTGTACGTGCATGCCACAGCTTTCACACCACTTGATGTGTGCCATAACATTACACAGAACAAAAGAAACCACGGTCTTTTCAAATTCACTTTAAAGGAAACAAAATTTTAGGTTACCATAGTATTGGGTTCCGTATGACATTTCCATATATCTATGTATTACTGTATGTTCTCATTAGCTCACTACTTTCGGATAAAACTTTAGGACTGTGGATTTAGCTCAGTGGTAATAGTCCTTGCCTAGCATATGCAAAACTAGTTTTTATCTCCAGCCCTGGAAAGATAATGTACAGCAAATTATTTTCTCAGACAAGAAAAGAGCATGGGAGCTAGTGCAATGGTTCAGAGGGAGAAGCTCTTGCCATGCAAACACGAGGACCAGAATTTGGATCCTGTAATTCCAATGCTTGGAAACAAGATGGGAATCCTCAGGTGATTTAGGTAACTAGGTTACTTGAATCCATGAGCTTCAGTGCAGCAAGAGACCCTGCTTCAATAAATAAAATGGGAAGTGATTGGGGACACCTGATAGTATTTTTTGGCTTTCACATGCCACATGCTAATGTGTAAACACACCAGCATGCACATACACACACATTAAAAAAATAACATGCTTGACTCTGGTGCAGACTCGTCCTAGCATGCGGTCACTTACACATGACAAAGCCTGAAATGAGGCTTTTTTCCTCTTCTGACAAGATTGCAGCCTTGTTGGGTGAGGTTTCCACTTATTATTCTCGACTATCAAATGAAATTCTAAAGACCCTACCTGGACAATCATGTGCGGTTTATATTTAACCAGAATTTGAGAGGGTCATCAGTACACATAGATTCTTTTGATTTACCAGATAGGTAGTCATATCTGTAGATAATAATGGTATTTTTTTTCTATTTTAGTTGTTTCTTTACAGAAATGAGTATGATGTCCAGGACACTAGTGAAAGTAGTAAAAGCATATTTTCCTTTAGAATTATAATGATATATGCTCTCCATCATACTGATTTTCTTATTAGATAGAAGGGTGTTTTTAATATCTTAATTTTGCATAATGATTTTATAGTATTTCTTTATTTGTGAAGTAAAATTCCTCTTGGATTCATGAATTGCTTTCCCCGTGTCCTCTGTGATGACCATACTCATTTGCTAAAGTACCTAGGATTTCCTTGGTTCATAATGCCTAATAAATCCTGGAATGAGTAGAAGGCCTCTAAAATAAAGGCAGTCATTTACTAATAGCGATGATATATTAGTTGTTTTATATTAACCTTAAATTCCTAGATATATTCAACTTGGACATTAAGGATCATTTTTGTTTTGTTTGATTGCTGGGGACTCAAACCCAGGACTAGGCAAGCACTCTGCTACTGAGCTACAATTTAAGCCATTTTTTCACATAAAGATTATCATCGATATCCTTGAGTAACATTGTGTAGAAGTTCTCCTTGTGCAAGAAGAAATGGAGTAGGGAACAGGTAGAGCACAGTGTGCAAGACCCTCAGTCCTCAGCACCACCAAAACAAATTTTAAAATGAACTGACTGGTTTTTAGCTGTAGATCAGAACAGTGTCGTATACTACAGTGAGTGTGTTCTTCACTTTTCTAAATTCCTAATTTGTCGTTATCCTGAGCTAGAATAATCGATACTTTTGGGTACCTGTATTCTATCTTCTTCAATTGTTTGGAATCTTATGTTTATAGGACACCTAATATTTACAATATTATTTAAAATTTTTTGAGTATATTTTTCTTAGATATGCTTTCATTTTGACATATGAAACAAAAATTTATTTTTTCTTGTATTCCTAATATTTCCTGGTTATATAACTAACTTTACTTTGAGTCTATCTTCATTCTACAGCGATTTCTTGTATTTACATTGAGTTAACCTTGAAAGTATCCAGTATTCTTTTGGAGTGTATCTGTCTCAAAAGCAGAGTGTGTTGCCACACACTGTAATCTTAGAGATTGGAAGCCAAGGCAGGAGGATCACAGATTTAAGGGTAACCTGAGCCTAGGCTACTTTGTGAAACACTGTTTTAAAAATACAAAAACCGAATTAAAACAGAAAAACAAAACCAAACCAAATGCACCCAGAGGTGGAGTTGGGGGCCTGATAAATAATTTGGGAGGGCAAAATTGTCTTGAAATATTAAAACTTTCTGATATAGTTTTTATTCCATTGACTCTGGTAGGTATTTACATGTCTATATATATAAGCTTTCTTTTTGTATCTTTAGTTAAGAAAATTTGGGGGGTGCTAAGATCAAACTTAGGGCTTTACACATGCTAACCACTGGCTTGTATCCCAGTTGTAGATGTCTTTTATACATACTTTAGTTGAAGTTTTAAAAATCTGAATACTTGAAAAATCCAGATTAACAATTCTTTTTAGACCATCATGTATAATGCAATTAGTAACAAATTGGATTTTTAGCAACTTGTTTTTTTCTGTATTTGTTGCATGTACCTTCTCTTTGTAATGATGCTTTTGTTGAAATTTTACCCAGTGCTTGAAATTTATGTACTCCATTTGCTTTTAGTTGCTATTCTAAAACATTAAATTCAGTTTTAAAATAAAATCTGTTAATATTGTTTCTTTCTAACTCAGTTTGCATACAGTCAACATTCTCTTCCTGAGCATCACAACCGCAGAGACCTAGAAGTGAATGTACCATTACACTGCCATAGAAGAAAAGTAACAGACTTGATGTGACATTACATTACACAAAGTGAATTTAGCTAAGGAAGTGCTGCTGCCCCCCTCCCTGAAATGCCCCAAGTATGTTACTCAAGCCTGCTAGATACATGCAAATCCACGTAATGCTTGGATGTAAATGTTTGTTCAGGACTGTCTGGGTCAGCCCTTAGTCCCATCCCCAAAGAACATACCTTTAACAGGCAGGTGCAGGGGGCAGCACAGGGTCACAACAGATAGTAGCTATAAGTTCTTTTCTTGAGAAAAGCATAATTCTGCCAGAAGGACAGGACATCATCTGAAAAGTACAATACTGGCATGCTTCAATAATTTTGGCAATATTTTTGCTGTGTGAGTCTTCCCACCTGCTCAGGTGACCAGACTTGCAGTCTCCGGTCTCTGTTTAAATGTTTGAAATGCAACCTGGGGCTGGGACCTAAAAGATTTAAGGATGACAGTGTATAAAATACCCTAAGGTGTACATAAATTAGTGAAATCGTCTACTTGATGCCAGCTCTTATTTGGGCGATAGCCCCATTTGGCAGTGTGATTTAGTAAAGAGCTTTTACTTCAGTTTTAAATGTGCGGTGGTTTCTTGTGAAATTATATTGGCATATTGTTTCTATGGCAACACAAGCCCCTGACTGAACAAATCCATGGCGGGAACGGGGGGGGGGGTGTCACACAAAATGGGTCTCTTTACAAAAGGCCCATTACATTCTGTGAGAGATCACAACCATAAATCCTTTTAAGTTCATCAGAAGGTGGAATAATCTTTCTTTTTATGACTCACTTAAACCAATAGAAGTCAACAGAATTCGGTTCTAAGGGTTCCTCAATAGACTTCTAGTAACATTGCAGTTCTCAGCTACTGCACTGTGGGCTTGTAAAATAACCTGGCTCTTCATGTCTCAAGGGAGCGTCAGTATTCCACAGTGCAGAATCGCTTGGATGACTGGATATTCACTGAGATGACAAGGTTTGAGTTCATTTTAGGCACCCAGGGCATTTATCAGAACTGGGAATTAGGAAAACAGTTGCTGGGAAAGATACAGATAGGGTTAGGAGAATGCTAAAGACACCACCCAGGATTTCCACTCGAAAACCTCTAGCATTTCAAATTCCTCCCAGTGACTCCCGAGCCTGGTGGAATGGGGTGAGGGTGGGTCAATTTGTTGAAGCAGCCTTTATGGTTGCAACCTACCAAAAGCAATTTCAACACATTGAGAGGTGCAGATAATGGCGGAAGCGACACTGTCTTCTGTTCCTACTCAAATGAGCTCTGGAAAGCAAGGGTTTTAACGCGAGGGAGGCAGGCAGAAAGTTACTGATGAGCTTTCTTTGGGTGGGGTCTCCACAGGAAACCCTACGGTGGTAGCGCTTACATAACAGGGCCCGGGTGCCACAGATGACTTCCGTTCACATCCTAGGTTCTAATTCTATCTCGTCCACGAGGCCACCGCTGGCCTCCAGCTCCCGCTGTGAAGCCACTACAGCACCTCCGCCCTAACTGCAAAGAAACCAGAATTCTTACAGCAAAGTAGGATCCGAGCTCCGCCTCTGCATCAAATGATGCGCGAGCGGAAGTGACGTAGGACCGTGACCGTCTCTTCCGGTGGCTCTCTGCCCTGAGTACTTCACTGGAGAACTGTGGCCTTTGTGAGTTTCGCGGGATAGGGACTCCCTGCAGGTTGATCGAGGGTGCTGAGCTCTGCTCTACGCGCCTCGGCGCCTCCGGACGTGGCCAAGTCTGGGTCTCTCAGGCTGTCAGTCACCGGGGTGGGAAAGACCGCAGAGGCGCGTCCTGGCTGTGTCCGCAGCTCCCGCTCTTCAAAAGCCGCCAGAGGAACTTTTATGGAAAAAAGCTGGTTGTTTGGTTTTTGTTTGTTTTTTCAGAAGGGAACGAATTTTCGCTGGAGTAGTTGGAGTGACGACCGTCATAAACCTTGTGATTTCAGCGCCTTTGGTGAGCACTTTAGTGACAGATGCCTTCTGGAAAAGGCCGTATTCCTTAAAAAAAAAAATTAGAAACGAATGTCTCGGGTGAGAACTTGACTCCTATTTTTTGGCGCGCTCTCTCTCTCTCTTCTCTCTTCTCTCTCTCTCTCTCTCTATCCTGTGTGTGTGTGTGTGTGTGTGTGTGTTTGTGTGTTTTATTTTGCCCATTAGCTTCAGATACAAAGACATACTTTTTAGTTATTTAGAATGTATTTCTTTATTTTGCGAGTATAAACGTTGGTAGACCTCAAGTCCACTTAAGAAAACCCAGCCCGGTGTCTGTGCATGTCTTAAATCTAAGGATGCAAGAGGGGTTCTATGGATTCCACGCTAGCCTGTTGTATATAGAGTACAAGTCTAACTTGTGCTACATAGTGAAACATTGGTTTAAAACAAGCAAAAATCCAACAAGCAACAATAATGAGCTGTTCTGCACATCTAAAGTTCCTAGAACTGTGTTTGTTTCTCCATCCCTTTTACATCTTTGCGCTGGTGATCAGATCCAGGGCCTTGTGCATGCTACACATTTTTTTTTTTCTTAGTTCTTAGGTCTGTTCAGCACCAAACTGCTTAAAAATGTGAACCTCACAGAAGAAAGCTTTATGAAAAGTTGTAGAATTAACTGTTAAGACTGATAAATTAGTGTTTTCTCTCCTACAACACGTCTCCCCCCCCCCCCCCATTTCTCTTTTAAAGAAAAATCTTAAATGTACTTGCATGTTTGATGATCCAGATCTGTTGTGGTGCATCCACCTCTTTGCAGAAGTTTGTTTTCACTTTCTTCTAATAGATAAATATATTGTATGATGATTTGTTTGCTAAGATGTAAACTGAAAATAAAGGGGGATGTGGCAGGGTTGTGGTGGCACACGCCTTTAATCCCAGCTCTTGGGAGGCAGAGGATCTCTGTGAGTTCCAGAACCGCTTGGGCTACACAGAGAAACCCTATCTTGTAAAACAAAACAAAATTACTAGATTTTGATCAAGAAAAGCTGAAGAACAGTTGGGTATGCAGCTCAGTTGATAGAGTGTTTGCTCATTATGCACAAATCCCTAGGTTGAATCTCTAATACCACACATAAACTGTGTGTAGTAGCCCACTTTCCTGTAATTCCAGCACTTAATCCATAGAAGCAGGAGGATTAGGAGTTCAAGGTCATCCTTGGTCATATTGTAAGTTGTAAGCCAACTCGAATCACGTAAAATCTTGTCTCTAAAAAAGAAAAGAAGAAAGTTAAAAACTGCTTGGGAATATAGCTCAGCGGTAGAACACTTGTCTAGCATGTGTAGCCCTAGGTTCAGTTCCCAGCACCGCAAAAAAAAATAACTGAAAATTAACAATGATGCCATGTGCTATCTGATCTATAAACATTCAAAATTCTCCACATTGTTTAAACAACACCAGCAACAGCAAGAAGCTTCTGGATGTTTGGAGGTGTATGATCTCTTCAAGATTTCTATGTTGTGCTGGACTTTGTGGCAGACACCTGCAGTCCCAACAATTGAGAGGTAGAGACAAGAGTGTCACTGCAAGTTTGAGGTCCCGCTGGGCTCCATACCAAGACCTTGTGTCAAAAAATAAAACCAAAAGATGTCTGTATTGTGCTTGTTTATAAGCCATAACGATTTCCTACTACTGTCTACAGTAGTAGGCAAGCTGCCGTACTTGGTGAGCAGCTAGGCACTGCATTCCGCTTTTCTATTTTTTATTTATTTATTTATTATGTATACAATATTCTGTCTGTGTGTATGCCTGCAGGCCAGAAGAGGGCACCAGATCCCATTACAGATGGTTGTGAGCCACCATGTGGTTGCTGGGAATTGAACTCAGGACCTTTGGAAAAGCAGGCAATGCTCTTAACCTCTGAGCCATCTCTCCAGCCCTCCGCTTTTCTTTTTTGAGGCATGGAGTTCAGGCTAAGTCTCGAGCTTATTAATGGCTTTGGTTGGCTTTGAATTTATACTCCTACCACTCACCGTCTCCCAAGCGCTGGGTCAACAGTCACACCTTGCTTCCAATAAGTTCGGGTACCACAGCTTTCCATTGCCAACTCCAAGGTCTCAAAAGGTGTGTGGAAGATAATTTGTAGATGTTCCATACTTGGACTATATTTTATTAGGGAGGCATCCATTTCTTGTGGTCCTAGCTTTGGTGCTTGCTAAAGACACTGTCCGTCACAGCACTTTGCTTGTCGGCAGTGCTGGCAGTTGGAGCCAGGAGCTTGGGTTTGCTAGGCAAGCACTCTGCACCAAGCCACAGCCCCAACACTTGGTTTTACAGAACTACAAAAAAAAAATTGTAGGCTGACAGTTTAACAAGAAGAATGTCTTGTGTCCCAGCTCTCATCCCACTTAAGTTTTTTAACATCTTTGTTAACTGCAGTAAATACATGTACCTGCCCTTTTTCTTTTAATTTTAGAAACGTACTGTTTTATTAGTATGTGTGCATACTAATACCCCAATGATGGTGACATGGTTGTGGTCAGAGGACAACTTTGGAGTTGATTCTTTCATGTGGGTTCTGGTGACTCAATTCAGATAGACAGGCTTATGCTGAAAGTGCCTTTAGCCAGTTTGCCAGCCTTCTTATTCCCCCTTTCCTGTATTTATGGAGGTATATTGTCACAGTAAGCTTTTAAAAGGTTGTGTGTTCTAGGTCAGAAGACATGTACATTTTATTTTGACATACATTAATTTTTTTTTCTTTTTTCCAGGTCTTTTACCTATATAGCAGTTTCTGAATCAATCTGTCTTAAACTTCATTTAAAACTTATTCTGGGAAAATAAGAAACAGAATTTTAGTTTAAGTACAAGGCATTTGTTTTGACAAGGGAAGTCCCTTGGCCTTTTCAAGTGATTAAGAGCACTGGGCTGTACTCTGAGAAGCTGCATTTGCATGGGTGGCCAGTTCTTCCAGTGCTTGGGGAACTGAGGCAAACAAACAAACAAAGCCATTGAGTGTTATATATCTGCACTACTAGGACTTGGGAAACTGAGGCATTACATAGTGAGAGTTTATGTTGAATCTCTGTTGTTTGTGTCATTTAATGTTTGCTTTGTAGTCTTGTTCTGGTGAATCATTCTTTCTCTGCCCCCTTCTATCTCCTTCCCCAAGCAGCAGTTTTGCTGGCTAGGAACTCAAATGAATAAAATAAAGGGGTTTTTAAAAATCAAGTTTTAGTTGTTGTTTTTTTTTTTAAATTTTTCTTATTATTTGATCTTGCTGTGTTGTGTAGGCCAACCTTATACTCCTTCCTCCCACCTCAGGCTCCTGAGCATTGTAAGTATAGGTATGTCCACCTTGAGTTAATGATTTCAAAGTGAGTCCCATTCAAGAGTAATTTAGTAGATTATGTGACTACATCAGTCTTTACATTTTTATTTATGGTCTTTGAGGTAGATTCCTGCTGTGTAGCCCTAGATGGCCTTGAACTCACTATGTAATCCATGTTTCCTTTTGTTCCTGCCTCATGACTACTGAGATTTATATAATCCTATATATTTTAATATGAGCAATATAAAGTGAATATGTGATAAATTTTATCATGTGTAAATAATAAAACAGTTTCTATATTGTGATCTATTTTAAAATTCAAAATTTATATAATTTATTTTCATAAGTCAGATAGATATATAGATAGTACCTTGTAGTGGATTACTGCAACCTCAGTTACGGTTCTATAATCAAAGGAATTGATATTGAATATTGCTCTAATTTTATCCAATCAACAACTTGTAAACATTTTTTACTTATATATTGGCTAATGTTTTCCTTTTAGTGACTATTTTTTAAAATTTATTTTTGTGTGTGACATGGGTGTGTGGACGGAGGTCAGAGGACAGCTGTGTAAGGTTGGTTCTCTCCCTGTCCTTCCCCTTGATGTGGTTCTGGGGATGGCATGGCAAGCCCTGTACTCACTGAACCATCCCACCAGCCCCTCTGTGTCTATTTCAAGAGCTTGTTAGCGGTAGTGTGCCTCACTCTTCCAGCGTGAACACAGTATACCTTGACGGCGCCTTTGAGGCTCCGCAGCAACTTTGTCAGCACACATAGTCCATTCAGATAACATCTTAACTGCATACACTTTCCTAGGTCAGTATCTTTCAGGATTTCATTTGGCACGCTTGGCTTTTGCATTTGTTTTATTTGTGTGTGTGTGTGTGTGTGTGTGTGTGTGTGTGTAGGGGCGCTTGTGCTCATACAGAAGTGCCACAGCATTTATGGAAATTGACTGTTAAAATCCTCTGGGTTACAGGGTTAGAACTCAGCTTTTCAGGCGTGGCAGCAAGCACCTTTCCTCACGGAGCCATTCACTGGCCCTGGCACACTGTTTGTTAGTTACACACACTCACACACACTGGCCCTGGCACACTGTTTGTTAGTTACACACACACAC